AAAACAGGTCTAAAAATTGAAGCCTTCACAGGCTTCTGGCCTTCTGCTCCTGACATTAGTTTAGGATTCTTCCATGTTGTCGGTGGTGGCTGGCAAACCCTGTTTGAGGGTTTTTTTTCCTAAGAAGAAATCCTATTTGTTAAGGGTTGTGAAAGAAATTGCTTTAAACTGAAACAGAGTAGCTTTGGATTGGATTGTGGGGAGGAATTCCTCCCTGTGAGGCTGGTGAGGCTCTGGCACAGGATGCCCAGAGCAGCTGTGGCTGCCCCATCCCTGGAAGTGTTCGAGGCCTGGTTGGATGGGGCTTGGAGCGATCTGGTCTGGTGGAAAGTGTCCCTGCCCATGGCAGGGTGGGGGGGTCGACTGGTTGAGCTTTAAGGTCCCTTCCAACCCAAACCAGACTGGGATTCTATGAAATTCTTATTGTCTCCAAGAAGCTTTTGAAAAAAAACCCCACATTATTTTGAAAGGGGTTTCTCCGGGTAATTCTGGTATTACAATGTTGTTATGTTGTCTTTAGATAATCCCTATATTTGTTTTGGGGCATGAGATAAGTCTCATGAGGTAGAAAGGACAAGCAGGTCTTTTTGTTGCTTTTGTTAAACATCTAATATCCCTAGGAAAGGATGTGGGTCAGACCTGCTTTGCAGGAGATATCTGGAAGCAGAGGAAGGTTTCACTAACATCATCTTGTGCTGGACAGGGCTGCCTGTGATCGAGGCAAAATGGCTTTCAGTAAAGGATACCGTGTCTATCACAAGCTGGATCCACTTCCCTTCAGTGTGATCGTGGAAACCAGGAACAGAGAAGAATGTCTCATGTTTGAATCCGGAGCTGTGGCTGTCCTCTGTAAGTCGATCTGTTTTGATAACTACAGTGTAGAAAGGTGCCAGACTTGACATTGTGTAAGCTGTTTATTTGTGGAATATAAAGAAGCAACTATTCTGTTTTCCTGTTTGCTGCTGGAGAGGCTTCTGATTTAAATGAGAAAAGGAAAAGAGACATTTGCTTATCTTCATTTGTCGAGAGAGAATTTGACACATTTAATTACATTTCATCATGCACGTATATTTTCATGTCTCCTAAATCTTCTAATTCAACAACATCTGCTTATTTCCTTGGTTCTGAACAACCTTCTTTTGAACACGTGATAATTCATTGACAAGCTAATTCTCTGTGTTGTATTTCATAATAAAATATATAATCTTAAATGGTATATCATGTTCATTTGGTTTTATCTGATTCTGTATCATTTTTGATGGCTTTTTGATTTTTAGCTTTATTTTGTCCCTGTATTTTTAACCTGTCTCAAGACTTTGTATTGATTTGTCTTGTAATAAAATGAGTAATATTTGGAGCAAGGTGTCTTGCATTGTAAAGTTATTTTTACATGTTTTAAGTGATAAATTCATTAAATGTGTCCCTTAAATTCTTTTTGGTGCCCCCCCCCTTTTTATTGGAGGACACTAGAATGAGAAGTGCAGAAGAGAACGGTGAAGCCTCTTAAAATAGAATTTGCTTTGTATTCTTCAGGAAGTCAGAGGAGCTGGTTGCAGAGGGTTTCTAAGCTTGTGTTTTACTCTTTGTCGAATGTTTTCATACTGTGGAAGTAGTTTTCTCTTTAGTCAATAGCTTTTTGATGCCTGTTTGTGGTTTTCTAGCCTGGCTATTCTGAGCATCCCATCAGGAAATGGGAGGTTTGATTTACTGCCTGTAGGCTGAGTGGCCTCCAAGAAGCACTTTTCAGGAGGTTGCTCTGGTTTTGGGATGGTGGAGCAGGCTGAATGGGAAGTGTGCTCTCTGGCAAGGCTCAGGACTAGAGAGGTGCACCTGTTTCCAAAGGAGAGTGGGACTTAAGATGTTTCCTTTCTTTGATGTTTGCAGTTGGTTCTCTTCTGTGCGTGTTCTCCTCGGCAGTGTCAGGGTCTCTTTCTGAGGCACCTGGCTGGCCCTGTGTCCTGTGTAAGGTACTTAGAAGCCTGGCCATAGAGTCACCTGTACAGGACGGGTGTGTGAACAAGTGCTCTCCAGCACACAGCTTAATCTGCATCTTTATGTGTGATTAGAGCAAGCTGCCAGTACCTGTTAGAGGCCTGGCAGTGATTGACATGGTAGCTGTGACTTAGTGATGGCCCAGGTGGGAAACAATGGCTGCTCCTCTCCTAGTTTTGAAATAGCTTCTTTTTTTTTTTCCTGGTACTGTTTCTTCTTGCTATGTATTTAAGTAATCTCCTTGGTTTTGATAGCAGTGTTCCTAGGCACTGTGTCGTGTGGACTGGAAGTGTCCAGTCATAAAGCTAGTGAACAGGTTTAGTGCAAGTAAAATGCTTTGAAGATTTGTGGAAAATGTTATTTTGGTATAGTCAATGCAGAACGTGCTTAAGCTACTTAAGAGCCAATTCTTGAAAAATTATTTAATCCCAAAAGCTATGCTCGAAAAGGGCAGCAAGTTAATCGTTTTTCCTGCTGGGATATGCTGCAGGCACCTGGATAAATGCTCTACCCTGAAAATTAAAAGCCATGTCAAAGTTCTCGCCCTCTTCTGTACCTCATGTTGTTGCCAAACAGAGGAAGCAGGACCTGAAGGAAGGTGCAAAGCCTCTCTCCTCCTGGGTTCTGTACTTGGTGAGGCATGTTAATAATCTGTAAAGTGTTGTCCTTGGAATTCTAATTGGTAGGTCCCAACATAGCAAAGGTTCATACTCAGCTGGAGGTAATCACACTGAGTTTTGGTTTTGGTAACCCTAATCAGGAAGCTGCTTAGACTTTTTATATCTGCTACATGGGCATAGTGTCCCAGTGAATATTTAGAAGTGACATTTTGCTTGAATTCCCTCTTTGCACCTGAATTCTTTAGGGACTGAAACTTTTGTTAATGGTTGGAAGTTCACGGTCTTAAACTGACAACAGAAAAAGCCCAGGAGTTCCCTAGCTCAGGATTTTTTTTTCCTCTTTTTCTGCTTGCTGTTCCCATCTGGTTCGTTTTAATACATCTTTGGAGTATAATTATTAGTGCTTGGGGAAGGTTAGTATCATGCTGCTTCTCCATCTCTAGTCATGCCACAGAACCCAGTCAGAAGATTCCTGTCTGTAGCCTTACAGACTTTTGGGTATAGGTACAAATTTGAAAGACAAAGTTCATGAAAGACTGTCCCTTGGGGAAGATTTCCCACATCGTTGTAAAATCTGTGTGTATAGATAGAAAAACAGTCAAATCAAGTATGTATTGATTTAAATCCAGAAGAGCATTGCCTTAAGCTGCTAGAAATTTGTGCTTGTTGCTGGTGGTGCTAACACTTTTTAGACTGCAAAAATTGGCAATACTAATCTCAAACAGATATTTTTCCAAATACTTCTATAAATACTGGGGATGGAATAAGATATTCAGCCCTATACCTGGTCATAGTTCTTAGCTGTATGTAGAATGTATAATATATGCACAGCCTAGTGAAATACAGTTTACCTTCGAAACTGATTCATGTGGTTCTGAGAGCCTTAGTGAACTGTACCTTCTGGAATATCCATGTTTAGAAATTTGGCTTTGAAATGGGTTAGAGGAAAGGAATGAAAGCTTACTGATCCTTTAAATGTCATCTGAAAGGGAGCACATCTGTCATTTTGCTGAGGGAAGGATAACTGCATTACCCTTCATCCCTTGTACACTGTGAGGCACTGCAAGATGATTCAGAGGATTTAGTTAGGCCTCTGCATGAAATGCTGTACAGCTCAGATGTTGCGTGATTGTCAGTGTGTGCTGTTTTCAGTGTGCACTGAGTCTGTTAGTCCAGACACCAAAGTCAGAGGGAAGCAAGGGGGAGGGTCAGAGGGGTAGTTCAGAGGCTGTGGTTGTGTAATCATTCAGTCTGACTGTGGGAGCAGCCCAGGCCATGCTTCTGCTGGAAGTTTTCTGTGTGGATTAGCTAATGTTGCTGTGACCAAAACATCTGAGCAATACTTTGCTTGCCTTTATGCATTTAATACCTCTTTTATTGACAGACTCCTAGTGTTGGGTCAGCCCAAGATACTGCAGTCTGAGGGGATCCTGCTAGTTTTCTTCTCAAGGCATTCTGAGGGTGCTTGGTTTTAAATACCATCGGCTTTATTGCTCATTTGTTTAGAATTTAGTGGGCAGATGTCACGGATCTGTTTTTCTTATTTGACATATGAAATAGTGTATTTATTCTTTGAAATGGGACTCTCTAATTGGATATCTTACCTGTAAAGATTTCATTGACTGGACAGGAGCATGTTCTCTCTCCCTGTTCCTTCTGGTGAGTCATCCCAAAAGGAGTGGGATGTCGTTACTCCTGTTGCCTGCCTTGAGTAAAGAAGAATGTTCTGTCGTCTGGGAAAACACAGAGCCAGGAGAGGAGAGAGCAGGAGCTTCATGCAGGTCCTTTGACTTCAGTCTCATGGTACAGCTGAGAGGAGAGCAGCTCTGAACAGGAAGAGGCACTGTGCCCACCCTGAGCTCTCTGTAGAGCTGAAGTAAGGGCTGTAATAACCTGTGTGCAGCAGGCATCCTGGTGTTCATAGTCAGGTTTAACATTGCTACTCATGTCACTTCTTTAGAAAAGTCTTCCACACTGCATTCTGGGGAGGGAGGAAAGGGGGAAGCAGGTGGGATATAATAATTTTGCAAGAGATGTTAGGTTAACATGATGCTTGAGGAAGTCTAGACACCCAGCAAAGCAACATACTGACAGATTAATTTGATGAGCACCTGTTGTATGGATATAATTATTAAGGGGGGTGACTTTCTGTATGCTCACAACCAGAGGTTTTGAGTGGAAACATATCTCCTTAATTTGGGAAGCAGAATGTTTCAAAACAAATAATCACATTTGGTATTTCATGATGGGATCCTATAAAATGAGCTTCATATAAATATTGTCCTGTTTTACATGCATATATAAAGGTGCAATAATAATAGGATTTAAAATTCTTCGAGCAGTGATTCATCCTCTGGAAAGTGTGTCTTTATGTTAAAGAGGAAAGGTCAAATGCAGGTTGTGGTAGAAACAAGTTTTTATTTTTGTTTTGATGTAATACTGTGTTCATCTGCATCCAGTTTGAAGGGAGTAGGATACAAAGGCAGAATACAACTTCACCTTCCTGTCTTCATTGCTGCTTTGACTAAGTGTTGTCTTCCGGGCTCCACCTTCCCACAGAACAGTGTCTTAAAGCACCTAAGAAGCTGCAGGGAAGCAACAGCCACAGTGGATGCCAAGGGCAGTTGTGTTGGTGGAGGAGGACGTAACCTGTCTTCCTATCATCAGGTGCCTTTCCAAGGATTCTGCTGGAATTCACCGTCCTTTCCTATCTGCTGGGAAGATGTTCTGCTCATTGCTTTCCAGGCATTTCCATCAAAATTCCATGGTTTAACAAAGACGACACGTGCTAGCCTAGCACACTTGGAAAAGTATAAGTACAGTGACTCTTGCCTGGGCCTTGACCCCTTGGAATGGCACAGTGGATCTGCAAGGATTTGGTCCACAGTTCTCAAGATACAAAAAGTTAATTACAACAGAGGCTTTACAGCAATAGTAAAGACTGTTCTGCATGTGCTCCACGGCCCTTTCCGTGTTTTAACAAATAATTCTCTTTATGGATGTTCTATTTTCCATCCAGTAAGTTTTCATTTCTTATGTGATAATAAAAGTCTTGGTTTTGCCCTCCTGGACAGCGATAGCTCCTGCTCATTAAATGTCTCTCAGGAAGCCTGGTTAGCATACTTCCGGGGTTCCTTAGACATCATTTAGAACAGCTAATTAGCAAGTCTACGTTTCAGATTATTTGGTAGCTTTTTTGCATGCTGGCACATATTTAAATTCAAAACTGTCATGTTGGGAATTGTACAGGCAAAAATTGCAGCAATTGGCTTCCATGTGAAATAACTGTATTTTAATTGAAGCATTCAGTATTAGAGCATCTTGGGAGATTATTGGTGCTGTAAAGTTTGGTTTTCAGTAGAGAACATGTGACTAGGTCATAATGCCTAAGTCTGATGGAAAGGAAGTGCTTGTAGGCTCTTAGGTTGGTCAGCTTTGTTTTCATACTTGCGTGTCTCAGTTTTGCCCAGGGCAGTGGTGGAGTCCCCATCCCCGGAGGGGTTTAAAAATCATGTGGATGTGGCACTTGGGGACATGGTTAGTGGTAAACGTAGCAGTGCTAAGTTTGCGGTAGGGCTCGATGATCTTACAGAACTTTTCCAACCTAAATGATTCTATCATTATTTAGAGAATAAACAGCTTGAATCTTATTATTGCAGTGGGTTAAGCAGAAGCTACTTAATTTCCATTTTGCTTATCATCTGAACTGACACAGAGTAATAGAAGAAATACTGCCTCATGATGCTTTGTGTCCACGTTTATATACAGATAGATGCATGCTTGGATTGTCTGCTCTCTAGTGTTCCTCTGCAGTGTAATATAAACACTTCAAATTGCTGTGTAATGGGTAAAGGTTGTCATTCCAGCGGGTAATTTCTGTCTTTAGAAGTTGCATGTCTTACTTTATTCTTAGTAGACTGACAGTGTTGTTTTTGTTTTTTTCAGACAGCCTTAACTGTGTTTTCTTACTTCCAGCTGTTTAAAGACAAATAAATAGCAGGTTCATTAATTTGTTGGACTGTATGTTTTTCTGAGTGCATATTTATGTTAGCTGCATTTATGCAAGATACGGAGCTCAAATCAAAGTTGGAAGGGCTCTTGTGGCTACAGATTTTCTGTTTCTATTAGTTTGGTTGGTTTTTCTGCCCTTTGCAACTTTTTTAGCAGTGGCCTTTTTAGTTGGCCTGAATTTGCAAAGCCCATGTTATTTAATTTACTTTGGGCATTTACTTGTTAGGGCTTAGCAAGCATAACCAGTGTTCTCTGCAGTGGAAAAAGAGAATAAATCCATAGTAAACAGGAAAACCATTGTTCTGAAATGTCATTAAATACTGACAGGCACCTTTAAGAAAAACCCTGCAAGAAGTTTGAAACTAAACCTCGTCTTTCATTAACAATTTGAAGTGTGGAGGAAGAATGTGGCAGCTCTCTGGTTACCAGAAGTTGAGTTTAGGAGAATATGCTGACGACATTAAATTGTTGCTGAAAAAGGGATGGAAAGAACCAGGTTTTGAAGTTCAGAAGTTCTTTCCAGCCTGGTGGTGATCTGGTTAAGAAGAAGCTGATTTGCTGGTGCTGACAAGATGTGTTTAGGTGGGCTGTGAGTTCCTAACACTTACTGTGGGCGAGGACTTTGGAAATTATCAGCTGCTGTAACTCTTATCCTTAGCGTCTGTATTACAGAAACACAGCATATCAGTGCAAATAGGTAAAGAAAGTTTTAAAATCCACTTAAGAAACCGTTGACTGAGGCTAGATTTCAAGCTGTGGTTAAATAATTGTTTTGTCTATATTTGATTTTCTGATCCACTTTAATAAGAGAGCCTGTAGGTATTTGAACAGAAGGGATAGGTTTGTGCACAGGCAGGGCTCTGCTGAGCTTGGGGAATGCTCATTGGGAAGAGCAATTCTAAATAACATAGAGTTTTTTGTGTTAAATAGCAAATCGCTAATGCGAGAGAGAGCACAACAGACTGCCAGGGCAATCAGCATTTTGATTTCCTCTTCATGTCAAAGTCTGTTTAAGTGTCAAAGTGAAAATTACTTAGCAGATGATTTCTGAGGAGGGAGAAGGTGCTGATCTGTGACGACCCAGAAATCTTGATCACTGAGGATCCAATGGCACAGCTGCAATTGTCAGTCTCTGCCTTTTCAGTGCAGCCTGAGTGATGAGCAAAAGTTCAGAACTGGTGGGATCCTGCAGCATCTCTCACCTGGCTCTGCAGCCAGGCTTGTGGCCTGGCTTTTTGGGTGCTCATGAGAGGGCTAAAGTGTACCCTAACTCCTAGGTGAATAGTGGTAGATATACTTTAATTTATTCTAAAATATTACAGTTATTTTTTCCAAAACTGCCTATGAAAATCATGTTTTCCTGATATAAGACATGGCTTTTACATACCATTTTTTGTGGACCTGCAGGAGTTTTGATTTGCTTGGAATGTATCTAAAAGTAATAAAAATGCACTCGTGATAATCTTGTTTACTTATCTGGAGATAATAGGGCCACATCACAGGTTTATTCCTGGAGAAAAAGGATCATTTTTTTTCCACAAAAAGAAGCAGCATTTAGCACTACTCTAATTTTAATGACGAGAGAGCATTCTCCCTTACTTGCCTGTGTTGTAGATGCTTTTTATATTAAGAGAAGATGCTGTTTAAAATGCTACCATTCTCCTTTAATATCACTTAAGTTTTTGCAAGTCTTTTTTTTGTGGCTTAAAAACATAGCATGATCCTACTTTGTCATCAAATCCAGTCCTCCTTTTCCATTATGAAGTGCCATATGCTCATACATTTTGATATCTCTCCAGAAGTGTCACTTAAGCACTGCTTTTGTAATCTCCTGGGTTTTCAGTGTGGAGTGGCTCATTCTCCCTGCCACAGCATAGGGTCTTTTGCATCATCAAACCTTATGTTTTCTCTCCACAGCCTCTGCAGAAAAAGACACAATCAAGAACACCTACTCCAAAGTAATGGATGCCTATGGGCTCTTGGGTGTATTAAGATTAAACCTTGGTGAGTCAAATGTGTAAAACCTTAATTTTTCATTTGCGGAAGAAAACCGTGCTGCTCCTGTAAAGCTGCATTGCACAGGACCTTCAGAACAGGAACTGGGCTTGGTTTTTGTATTTGAGTTTTGGTTTTTTTGTTCGTTTTAGGGTAACTTACAAGTTTGGAGCACTCCCAGGAATAAGGGAGTGGACAGAAATAACTTCCGTTGTTTTCGCAATCCCTGCTCTTTGCAGAGTAGTTTCTCCTGTTCGCATTTCCTCTTCATCTGTAGAATTTGGATTGTGTTCCTGATGTTGGTTCCTTTTGTGCTTTTATCAGGCAAACTGGGGTGGGCCCGTGTGCCTTTATGCATATAAACGCATCGACATCCCACTGCGCTAAGAGCCGTTCTCTTACCTGTGCCCTTTCTTGTTTTACAGGGGACACACTGTTGCATTACCTGGTTCTAGTAACAGGATGCATGTCTGTGGGGAAGATTCAGGACTCTGAAGTTTTCCGAGTCACCTCCACTGAGTTTGTGTCGCTGCGAATCGATCCGACAGATGAGGATCGAATTTCCGAAGTGCGCAAAGTTTTGAACTCAGGAAACTTTTATTTTGCCTGGTCTGCAACTGGTGTCAGTTTAGATCTGAGTCTCAGTGCTCACCGCAGCATGCAGGAGCACACCACTGACAATAGGTTTTTCTGGTGAGTTCATAATTGTTTCAGCAGGCGTTAGATAGAGTCATGTATCCATCTGCAAGTGAATCTCCGGCAAGTGTTTGTCCTTGTCTTCACCAGCTCTTACATGTACACCTTTCTCCCACAAATCTGCATGAGACAGAAGAACATTACTTTAAGGGGTATAAGTACATTACCCCTTAATGATAGGATATTCCCATGGCCACTTGGAGTTTCTTAATCGGAGGACACAGATTTTCACTGCTTGTATTGGACTTTGATCCGAACACTTGTCCTGATGTTCAGCCTTGGCATCTCTTAATTCTTTATCAAATGTGCAGGTGTTTTAAATGAGTGTACTACTGAAGCTTTAAAGAAGAAACTTAGTGTTTTGAACATTCTGGATTCTAAAACGGTGTGGTGTTTATATATAGCTTCCAAGTGGTTTCCAACATATGAAGGCATTTTAAGTTTTATTGCACAGATAATTCTGACATTGCTGGTGTTGTTGACACAGCAGATAGGCTCTGCTACAAAGTGCACTTTGCCTGGCTGCTGAGCTTACTACCCTTTCAGTGGATATTTTTGAATAATGTATAGGTTTTCACACACAGGATTCTTGGTAAAAGGAGCACTGCTGTTCCTGCCAATAAGCAGCTGAAATAATGCTGGAAATGCACACTGTCACGTCAGAAATTCTGCTCCCTTCTTTTCAGTCTTTGTTAAAGAGGGTCTGCATGTCCATGAGCCTTGGAAGGGTGCTGAAGACTTGTCAGTGTGCTGTTAGGCTAGGTGGAAAGCTACATCCTACCCCCTCTTCTGTCCAGAATACAAGACACCAAACTAGCACTGGTATGTGAGCCAATGCTTCTCTACTTTTTGCCACTATTAGATTAGAGGAATCTAATAAGATCGAAGTGTAAGACAAAGTAATGAAACTTTGTTTCATTTTGATACAAGTGACTGTTTCCAAAGGAGATCATAAGCCAGGTCCCACTAGAGTGGGACTGTGAAGCAAAAAAACTCACAAACCCCTCACAAACTTTAGTCTTATTTACTTAATACGGTGTTGATTAGTGCTACTAAATGCACAGGTGTATTCAGACTGTGGATCTTTCTTTCATTTGAGCAGCAGTTGGTATTAGAGAATGATATATGCAGTATGTAATGTACCAACACTTAAACTTGAAATTGATATTTACAGAAATTTGAGAATCGGTTGGCTGCGAATGTATTCCTGGGAGCTTGTTTGAGAAGTGATGCATTATGGTGACATAGCATGGAAATGATCAATGTATATTGACAGGAATTGGTTTCTAGCTCTATTTTGTGGTGGTGTGAAATTGAATGGTGCTTTACCCACCCCAAAAAGCAGCCCTGTCATTGGAAGTCTGGCTCACATTTCCCAGAGTCTGTTATCTCTGGCTTCCCAAAGCAAGGCTGAGCAGAGAGATATAGACAGGCTTGGTTTTTGGTGGGTGAAGAGCAGGGGCTGTAAGGGTTATTTTATTACTGTCATTAAAATTCATAGCTTCACCCCACATTCTTATTGTGCAAATGTTTAAGCTCTTCTCTTGTAAACTCTGCTATTTCAGGTATGTTTAAATAAGAGTTACGTCACAAAACTGTAACATGCTTATTTTCCTGTTCTTATTTTATGGAAGTAGGTGTAAAATGTGAGGAGTTAAGAGCTGGCTTAGCAGTTTGACCTGGATCTTATTTCCTTCCAGTGATTTAATGATTATTTTTTTTCCCTGCTAGGAACCAGTCCCTGCATTTACATCTGAAGCACTATGGTGTGAACTGTGATGACTGGCTGTTGCGCCTCATGTGTGGGGGAGTGGAGATCAGGACAATTTATGCGGCTCACAAGCAGGCCAAGGCTTGCCTCATCTCCCGTCTGAGCTGTGAACGCGCCGGCACCAGGTTTAACGTCCGGGGCACCAATGACGATGGTCATGTGGCTAATTTTGTTGAAACAGAGCAGGTATGTTCCGCTGCAGAGCACATTGCTGGGCTGACCAAGCCAGTGTAAGCATGTGTGTGGTTAGACTTCTGCTCTAAATCAACAAATCACAAGTCAAGCCTGTAACCAACTGGTGTCGGAATCGTTCCTTGGATGCTAAATAAGGAATCTAAGTAGGTTACATAATTTGATGATCTTGGTTTTTAGTGTAGCTTAGGGTAAGGGCACGCATGGGTCTGAGTTGTAGTAGCTTAAGAAGCTGTTACCCATGACCTGAACTGCTGTGAGTGGCTGTGCTTCCCTTGAGCTGTAGGGGAAAGTGAGCTTCTTTTGGCCTGAACTAATGTAGTAGAAGACATTGCAAACAAGCAGAAGAGGTTTTTGGGAAATACTGTGATGTTGGTACCTTGTGGTCCAGGAAAGGTAAAAGCACTCCTTGGTCACTTAGTCCCCTGGAAGGCAGTTTGTAAAGCCACTGTAATTCTGCTGCATTGGATTGCATAACTCTGCCCTTGTTACACAGAAATGCAAGGAGCTGTTGAATCATTCTTTGCTGGCCTTTCTTTGCTCCCTTCTCGTGATACGCTAGTTCCCCAGGTGGTGTTCCTGCAACCTTGTTCTGTGAGTAGCTTTCTTCAGGTGACTCGCTGATTCTTTTCTGAACCCAGGTGACTAAAAGGAGGACTTTATCCAGGAAAGGCTCTGCTTGTACACCTCCAGTTTCAGGAGTTTAGTCAGAACACTGCTGCTACACCTTCTCTGCCCAGGTTTCCTGGTCATGCCAGTGTCACTAAATGGCTGTAGCGTGTTATTCCACTTCAGTTGTCATTTTCTGTAATAGACCATCACCTATTGGATTCTGGTGCTGAAAATCTATGCAGGTGTTCTGAGCAGTCTGTGTGATTATTTTCTAGGCATTGGTGTACATTTTAACTGTTCCTGTGGGAAAATCTTAACAAATTGTTTAAAGCATCTTACTTGTAACACAGGAGTTCTTCAGGCCGAAATAGAAGCTCACTGTCTTTGTGAAGTATGATTCTGTGAGGGAGCATGAGAGTGCCACAGTTCTCTTTGGAACTGTTCAGAGGTGATAGAGAGAGAAGTCTAGGGAACACAGTATTTTAGCTTGTAATTTGGAATATGTAATATGTCAGTGTATTTTATTTCCTCCGTATTTAGTTGAGGCTAAGAAAACTAAAACCTTACACTGTGATACCTATTAATACTATGTTTTTGGTATTTTTCCTTAAAAGGTGATATATTTAGATGACTCCGTGTCATCTTTCATACAGATTCGAGGATCTGTTCCATTATTTTGGGAACAGCCAGGCCTGCAGGTAAGCAGGGGGATAGATTCAATTCTGCAGATAATTCTTATTCGTGTCTTTTAAAACACCTTCTAGTAGCCTTTAGGCTTTTCTGCACAGTTACCTGTCAGGATGAGGTGATCCCTTGGGCACAGGTTGGTGCTGTTGTGTGACTCACCAAGCCTGCTCCTCTCAATCCCTTGGTGCTACTTTGCACAAGATTTGAATGTCCATTGCCTTTGAGATGTTTTCTCCTTGTAGTTCTGAGGTTTTCCTGTTTTAAATAGGTTATCAAAGTGCATCCAAAGAGACTGTTTTCTTCTGAATTGTTCTTGATGAGAAGTCTTTTCAAGAAGTCAATGTGGATCAAGAGTTACTGTAATATACTTTCATCCCAGTTTTCTTGTAGAAGGGATTTTATCAGCAACTTTTACTGTGACATAATTTTTACAGGGAAGGTTAAAAAAAGTTCATGCCTCACAGGGATGCTATGTCTTCAGACATATCATTTTGCAGTAGAACTGATGAGACATTTACATGCCTTTTACTCAAAACAAGAAGTAATTAGATGATATGACTAAGTATATTTAAATTACAAGAGTGGTTTGTTAGAAAAAAAGGCAATTTAAGAAAAGCCTATATAAAGAATGCACACCATAGGAAGCAGAATAATTTTTGAGATTTCATTTAGGAAGTGAAATGAATTTTTAGGCCATATTTAGGATGAAAAGAGGTTTTTAAAGAATGATTAATCGAGTGTGTAATGAGAAATAATTCAATGTAACCTTCATGTCACAGGTGGGATCCCATCGTGTCAGAATGTCGAGGGGGTTTGAAGCCAATGCACCAGCTTTTGACAGGTGAAAGAATGTCTTAAATTTGTATTAATGCACTACAAACCTCTGATGAGTGCTGCATCAGAGAGATGGGATAGGTTATTCCAAATGGGAGGCTTTGTCTATCCAAGCATGGGATTCAGCAAAGCTGAACGGGGATTGCTTGTGCCTCTAAATGCTTTATTAAAAAGTGTGAAGAAAGCGAAGAGTGAAATGCTTTGCAGCATCTCAGTCAGTGTTACAGGTGTTCTTGTTCGTTCCCTGCATGCCAGAAGATAACAGTGGATTTTTTCCTCTGTTAACAGGCATTTCCAGACTCTCAAAAATTTATATGGCAAGCAAATCATTGTAAATTTACTTGGGGCAAAAGAAGGGGAGCACATGCTCAGCAAAGCGTTTCAGGTGAGTATGACAGTTCTCTCACAGTGTACGTCCTTGGGGTTTGCTTGGTTGCAGTTAAGCTTTTAAATAGCCTTTTAAAACTGAATGTGCTCTGCAGCAGCTGCCACTGGAGTTAAAACTATGTTTATCATAACACTGCTTAAGGTACATAATGTGAAATGAATTGTTAAATCCTCTCCATACAATTTGTTTGATTCTGTTCAGATTGGTTACTGTACTGAAAAATTAGCAACATAGGGTGGAATTTTCAGTTATTTTCATGTTTCATGCTTAGTAGCGTCTTATTGAAAGCACAGATCTTTTTTACCCTATAAAATTGTGAATAAATAAATAATACTGCTTGATATTTGATAGGGCAATGTTTCTTTTAAAGCTATTTCTCTTGAAATTAATGGATATATTCCTTAGTATTTTTTAAAAATCACAAATTATTTTATCAATTTAAAATGAAGGCTGCTTCGTGATTGAAAGGAAATGTTTGCTCAGAAGATGTGAACTATAAGCGGTCGCTTTGATTAATTCCCACTGGTTAGATTAAAATAATTGTCACGTTGCAGTCCACAAACACTGACAGTTTGAGGAGTTCTGTCTGACGCCAGAGAACATGTCAGTATCCATCTGTTATTTCCCTCTCCTTTTTCCCTTTTCCCCTTGTATTATGGTGGTTGAATATCCTGGTGTGTTCACTAGGGTAATTGTATCCAGCTCTCCTGAGAGGAAACAGAAGTATTTCCAGATGCATATTGACACCCCATGCTTTGCCAGTGAATGTTGTGTGAGCACTTCAGGATTTTTCAGGGAATATTAGGGAGAGTTGTGCTTAATCCACCCTCCACAGCAACCTAAATAACTTGTTGGTTTTTTGTTTTCCAAGTAGTTCGTGCAGTGTTTCCTCAGTCCCCATTGCTGGCAGATGTGTGTAAAGTGGTGGCTGTTAGTGAAGAGGGTTTCACTGCAACAGCCTTTTGCAAATTGAAGCATTTTAACAGTAGAAGGGGCTGTAGGCTGCCTTGGTGTGACCCCTGGGATAGTAATGAGAGAACCTGACTTTGATTGTGACAAGAAAAAAACCCCAAAATACAAGTGAAGTATTAGTCTGTTCTGAGTGATCTGTTAAACAATAGTGTTCAAAATGGTTTTGTTTTACCTAAGAGAAAGCATGTAATACAAAAGATAGCTAATAAAACAGCTTGTAAAATATTTTAGCCTGTTGTTTAGGTCATACAACTGTATATGCAGATACCAGCATATTTATATTCTTTTACTCTCTTTTTACAACATCAGAGCCATTTGAAAGCATCTGAGCATTCAGCTGATATCAAAATGGTGAACTTCGACTATCATCAGATGGTTAAAGGTGGAAAGGCGGAAAAACTACACAGTGTGCTTAAACCTCAAGTCCAGAAATTCTTAGAGTGTGGATTTTTTTATTTTGATGGAAAGGAGGTGAAAAGGTTTGTGTGTCTAAGTTTCGTTTTTCTCCTCAAGTTAAATTGTGGTGCTGGGATGCATTTCACCCCTTAGGAAGAAGATAAGAGAAAAAAGTGTTACTCCTATTACTGTGTTTTGATTGTATCCAACATGGTGCTTAACAGCTGAAATAGTAAAGTTTTGTCTCATTCTGAGTATGCTCTAAAAATCTTAAAGGAAAACCTCTCTGAGACATTGATGGGGCAAGAATTAATGTCAGGCCTTTGACTTCATGATTTAGTGAAAATGGGCAATTGTCCTTTTTTTTTAGGTGTACCCACATGGGATTAAAGAATGACTATTTTTGCATCTTCCTGTATAAAGTTCTGTGTGTTTCCCTCAGTGATGGAGAGCACCATTTTCTGTGCATTGTAAATGCTCATTTCAGTGCAGTCTTTTTCTAGCTCTGTTTGCACCTGGATCCCTCGTTTGAGAGATTCCTTTCTCTCAAAGTAGGAATGAGATGCATGTGTTCTGCCCTGCTCTGTACTTCTCTCCTTATTCCTAGAGGAAAGGCTGTGCTTATCTCAGCATGAAAAGGTAAGCAAGGCTAGAAACAGGCAAAATTTCTGCTCTTGTTACTTGCACACCCTTCCACCTTTTAATTAATACCAGAGCAAACTGCTGAGTGAGGTTCTCCCTGAGAAAGTGAGTTGCTGAGTGATGAGGGGACTGTGCCTTGTGCAGTGGGAGAGGAGGATTCCAGTGCCAGTCTGTGCTCTAGCCTGGCTGTGGGATTAAATCCCCCAGGGATAGGTTGTATTAGGCCTTAATAAGATTAGATTTAGTTGGAGGGTGCTCAGATCTCATCTGCTCCTCAAAATGCTGCCAGTCATTCTCAAAAAGCTTTAAAAGTGGCATGACACCTCGTATTGGGAGAACAGTGTCTGGTCTTGGTGGAGATTCAAGTGATATGGTCACGCACCAAAGACTGGCAACGGACTGAAAGCCAAGTAGGCTGCGGCTTGTGGTAGCTCCAATTGCATTAATATAAAATGCAATTACGTTTGAGTTCCTGGACTATCTCCTTTGGGGAATGTCAAGCTTTTTTCCTAACACAGTTGTTTTGTATTTCAAATCGAATGCAGAGAGAGTAATGCAAAAAACTCCCAAACATGTTGGAGAAAGTTCTTCAAAACTCTAGGATTTATAGTTAGATCCCCAAGTAAAGGTGCTGAAACCCTACTGACTTAATGGGACAAAGTGTGTAGTGGGAATGACAAGGGATAAGTGTACATCTTGGGAGAGTCATCAGAATTTTGTGCTCCTAGCCAAGCAAGCAGCATATGGATGTTGCCTAACACATCCTTTCGAGAGTTCCTAGCAGGAGTTACTGGGTCTCTCCCAAGGGAAGTGGAGCAGCTCTGAGTGCCCAAGGGCCTCAAACATCCATTCAGCTAAGGAGGAGAGGCTTATTTTTCATTTTTATTTGGGGAGGAAGGAGAAATTAATGAGGGGTTGAAATTGGCTTTAGTTTTATCACAAAATTGTGTTATTCTTAGTTTAGTTAAACAAATCCAAGAACTGTCTCAGTATTTTAAATTCCCTTTTTGTTTTAACTGAGAGCTGTTATTTCCCTCTGAGATTCTTGAGAAGAATGTTAGTTGAGTTGTTTGAAAAGCAAACTTAATCCTGCAAAACACTTTACCCAAGCAAGCAAGGAGAATTGCGAGAAACTGAAGCAGAAGGACTAATGCTCTGTGCAGCAAATGAACGAGGTGTGTACAGGGAGCACTGCTGCTGTGGGACCCTCACCCTCTGGGGCTGCCGTGTTCAGAAACGGCCTTGCCGCAGCAGGAACGTCGCACGGACAGTACCGCGAGACACGGCTCTGGTTCAGAGCTGCATGGCCGTGTCTTTGTTGAGGAGATGTGTGCTAAATGAGTTATTTCAGCTGTTTCTCTGTCGTCTCTCGTTGTCTTTGGCACAGGTCTCAGAGTGGTACTGTCAGAACCAACTGCTTGGACTGCCTGGATAGAACAAACAGCGTGCAGGCTTTCTTTGGCTTGGAGGTAGGAAAACCTTGTCCGGCTACACAACTGCTCCTGGTGCTTCTGTGGCAGTTAGGCTGTGAAAGTAGTGTTCCCTTCCCTAGGAAAGATGAATCAACATGTTTTGTAGGTGGCAGTTGGATTTTTAGTGTGATGTGTTTCTTCTGGTGGAACCAGGTTGCAGTAGTTGTAATTAAACAGTAGTCATGCAGCATTATGATAAACACTAATTCTTTTTTAGGTGTTAGGTTTCTGTGTGTGGTAAGGTGCAGGCAGAAAAGGTCATACCACAGAGTCACGGAACGGTTAAGGCTGGAAGATACCACAGAGGTCATGCTGTCCAACCTCCCTGCTCAAGCAGGATCCCCTAGTGCCTGTTGCTGGGGATAGTAGCCTTGTAGTCCTTCACACAAAACTTTCCTTCATGGTTAGTTCATTAAATTAAGTTCTTCAGCATGTGAGATTCCTGTTCTCAGCTTCTGCCAGTGCTGTATGTTCCTATTCTTACAGCACTGTGCTGTGAATTCATGGCAGGATATCCTGATTTGGCCACACAGGAATTGAGGAGTTGGAAATGAACTGTGGGATTCAGTCCTGCTGGCAGGTTGTGCTGCAGCATATTGGCTTGCTGTTGAAACAAGGGTTCTGGCCTGCAGGCTGGCCCAGGGGGAACCTGAGAGGAGTTGATGGAGTAAAATAGTAGGCTCTGAAAAGCTTTTGACAGCTCCACTCAGCTTAACAAAGTTTGGCTCCTAAAGATAAGATCCTTAGCATGCTTAAAAATGAAAAATTTTGGGGGCTGCAAGATCAGACTAAAGAAAATAATTATTCTTTTGTTTTCTGAATTTTATTTAACTAAAATGGTCTTGTTTTAGCATCTATAGGAGGATTTTCTGTGAGGACAGCAAAACACATTGGTTGTAGAACAAACTTGTCTGATTCTGGAATGTGTTGTGCTTTGCTGCTGCCTTAACACAGGAGCTTGCTATTGCACAAGAACAAATCTTTATACCCTCTGAATGTGTACAGTAGTTATATATATGTCACACATAGTTTTGCAGCTCTGTTACTTCCTTTCTTATCCTTTGAAGAACTGGGTAAATAAAACCTTTTCTTTTTTAAACCAAGTGTGCCCAATTTTTCCATGGTGAGAACTAAATTTTGATTTCAGCTGAAATATGAGAGCTGAAAGCATAAAACTAACTAATTAGAAGGGAAATGGTAAATCCTGAAGGGCTGCTTTCTTAATTTCAGCGTTCTATTTAAACGGGATACATAAATTCTTACCTTTTTTGACACAATAGATACTTGAGATAACAAGTGCTGAGCTCTGGATGACTGTCTGAAATCACAAGAGCAAACACCCAATTTCTGAAGCTTTTCTCGTTTATTTCTTCTTAATTTTGTCTGCAAGTTTCCTTCTGTAACTTTTGTTAATTCCTGCCCAGCCTCCAGAATTTTTCCTCTACGTCATCCTATGTTTATTATTTTAGGCTCCCTCTTCTTGACATTGGACACCTCAAGGTTTTAAAGATTTTTAAGAGCTCTTGAAATTAGCTTTTTTATTTAGTTTACTGCAGTTTTAGATGAATATATTTACAAGTCAACTACGTAATTATTTTCCTATATTGCTACCTATCTTCAAAAGAAAATGCAGTGCTGGTGCTAAAGTTACAGCCTTTCAAGCATGTCATGATGTCAGTTTGTCCAGAATGAAGCATACAAACCCCAGGTTTAAAGATACATTTAAAGATCTTCTTTTGCAAATGTTGTCTTGGACTGTTGCAGATGCTAACCAAACAGCTGGAGGTGTTGGGATTAGCTGAGAAGCCTCAGTTAGTTACTCGCTTTCAGGAAGTTTTCCGATCCATGTGGTCTGTGAATGGTGATTCTGTCAGTAAAATTTATGCTGGAACTGGAGCCCTTGAAGGAAAAGCTAAGGTAAAGTACATTTTCTGTAACGTTTTAGGAGTGTTCAGTGTGGTTTTTAATAGATTCTGTCTTTACTATAGCAAGGATGATATTTTATCTTTTAAAATATGCCCTTCCTCTTTGTAATCATAAAACCTAACCAACCAAAGCAATTGACATAAACCAGTTGGTTGTGTTGATGCCCTTCTCAGCCATGCTTGTGCCTCCCAGATAACTGTTCTGTAGGAAAGGACGAGGCTCCAATCTTCCATTTTTTTTAGATCATAGTTCAGAAAAAAGTATGTTCAGGTGAGCTTTAGTTAGTTGGAATATTTTCGCTCTTCTCTCTGTACCTCTGCCTGCTATTGTTTTCGTTTCATTCTGTATCTCCTCTCAGTTTCATTCTATATCTCCTTTCTTTTCAAATGTATTTGGCTGGATGTTGTTGTTAATGCTTTTAATGTTTAACAGTTAACATTAAACAGGTTGTAGCTGAGTGGTTTTTGTTTGTATGTTCCTCAACTTATTTTTATCCAGTTTTGCAGTTACTGCAAAACCCCGAACTCTGTTTCTACCTGCTTTCTAATGCTGCCATAACAGTTCTGTACTCTGTGACAGTGGAATGCACTGTTTCTCTTCTACTTGTTTTGTCTTGGTTGATGCCTGTGTTGTTCAGATTTTCTATTGCTATCTTTTATTTTTCTTCTCACAATGTTGCCCTTTTTTGTTTCCATAATTCTCTCCTTTACCAGGTGATACCTGTCAAGATAAACAAATGTTGAACCATGGCAATTTTTGCCCTTAGTTCCTTCAAGAATGTCTTTTCACATCATTCTTTTTGCTAAAGATAGTGTTCCTTCTCATTCTGTGTTATACTCTATGTCCTCATAGTCAACTGTGTTGTTTTTTCCATCCCTTGTTCATTCAAGCCATGTCTGGGTGCTTCTCTGAACATGTATTGCAGCGAGATGCATAAAAACAAATCAAGTGAAATAGACTTGTTGCTTATTCTGCCCTTAATTGGTGCATGCAAGACTTTTTCATTTGGTAATTGCCTGTATTTAAGTATAGAGTGGAATTTAGTTAAAGGTGTTTAGTTTTATCTTCTTACAAAGATGTCACCCAGACTGTCAGGAGAACTGCAGTAAGTATTTTATGGAGTGTCTCTGCTTCTCTTGACTTTCCCATTCAACCTTCCTTGTTTCTTTTCCTAAAGTAATGGTTTTCTGCTGTTCATTTGGCTACTTAAATTTTTAACTTTGAAAAAAAGCATTTACTGTATTTACCTTTCCATTTTAAATGTTTAAGACACAGAGTAGGTGTCCTGGTTGCAGCTTGAGGTTAAACCATGACGGTACATTTACTGTGCTGTCTTTGGAGTAACACAGGATCCCTGCCTTGGGACAGCTCTAATTAGTACTGTATCTCATAATCAAGCACAGTATCCCTGATACAAGTCCCCTCTGTTCAAAGGGGATCTCTAATGCTTGCAAAAGCCATCCAATATTTGCTCATGTTTCAGTGAGACACGACCAGGTCACTACTCAGTATGTTTTGAGTACTCTGATAATATAATTTAAAATGTGGTTTTTAAGCTGTATTCTTGTTTCTCAAATGAAAAGTTTGATGCTTGAAATTCTTCCATATCACTTTGATTCTTCAAAGTCCAAGAGTATCTAGAAGTAAAAAAATCGAAATTTAAGATAGGAGAAAAAAATATTTTAACCGCGAATGTGTTCATAGACATTTCTATAGTGCAAACCAGTCCTTTTAAAAGTATTGCAATGCTCATTACATCTAACTCCTTACCTGCTCTTTCTTTTGCTTTCTCTGGGTTCCTTTCAATTAATTGCCTGATATGTGAATGGTGAGTGTGTTGTTGGATCCTAAATTGTGCATTGTCTGCCAGAAAGGGAGCTCATCCTACCAGAATCCTGTGCCAATAGTGTGCTCCCCTGCACCTCATCCTCATTATCTGCCAAAAATCATGGTGCCAATTGACTGCTACTTATCCCTGCCAAAAGAGTAGTTTGTTTCTTGTTGTCCAGTACAAGTCACAGAACTAAATCCTGGGGTAGTTTTGTTAAAGTTTTGTCTTTTTTTACTTCATGCATTACGAGGCCTTCACAAACAATGCAAACTGTGAACCTGGAGTATTTTTTTATATTTACACAATACCATGCAGCATCCCTGATGGATTGCATTCTGTATTTCATGTACGTGCAACAGCGTGTGTTTACTGACACCTCACAGGCCAAACCCAGTGCGTAAGACAGAACCATTTATCAAGGTGTCTTTCTGCCTGTCAGTGCTGTGTACCCAAATTGACTCTGCTCATTTTGGAATCAAGTGTGAGGCTGCATAACATGTTGAACACATTATCCTCTAGGTCTGTGACCCTCAGGTATATCTGTGGCAGCAGTCCATTTTCTTGGAGCCTCTGGCTTAGTTGAGGTAGTTGGACACTGTTCTTCTGAGCATGGCTCAGTCATGCCACGAGTGTGCAGGGGAAGTGTGCGTGGATGGCTGCAGCTATGGATCAGTGTCAGTGTTCTGTCTGGGATACTGCATGAGACTTGCATGTTGTGTTCAAAAGTTAAGGGGTCTTAATAAGTCGAAGCTATCTCTTTTTTTAACATGGCTATTTCAGAATGTGAATTCTGAACTCATATGTGCATATACATATGTATTCATACATCATGACATTTGGACTCAAGTGCTTGCTCATCTCTCACTATTTGGGGAAAAGCCCAAAATCCCTGTCATGGTCTAAATGTGGCACTAGATCAAATTAATTTTTGAAAACCTGAGGTTTAGGGA